GCTTGTTTTTTTAATTTCGCTCAAAACTACTCAAGGACTACCTGCGCTAGCCTTCCCTTATTTTGGCTGGAGACGGCTTAAATGGGTAATGAAGAAAAACTTTAATATAAGTTTAACATAACAGCAAATGTACAACGTTTCGACAAGGTTTTGTCATCATCAGGTACGAAACGTTGTACATTTGCTGTTATGTTAAACTTATATTAAAGTTTTTCTTCATTACCCATTCAAGCCGTCTCCAGCCATTATTAGTCTCAAAGTGGGTTCCTCGTCATCGAAAATGGCTTGGATACTTGTTAAAACTTTAGATATATATTCTCTGTTATATTAAACAGTTTGTTTGAAGTTGAGCACAAAATGGGCTATCTGTGCTCTGCCCACCACGGGTATCGAAACCCAGTTTCCAGTGCCGTAAGTCTGCTGAAATGCCGCTGTGCCACTTGGGGGAGGGGGGAGACATTAAACAATTCAGGATTTTTTGTTCTGTAACTGCAACTCTTCAAGTCCTCTTAACCGTCCAAAAAATATCCGGTGAGTTACAGAATTAGAGTAGCCCAAGAGATGGCGGTGGGTGCTGTTGGTTAGTTGCTTTCCCTCTATTTTATCAGTTCAAAATTAGGGACGGCTAGCGCAGATAGCCCTTGTGTAGATTTGCGCGAATATCCTAAACTAGCAATATCAACATGGAAATATTTACTATGAGACATGTCTTTTAGTAAGCACGCGCAGGCATCTGGTATAAGCACAATTGTTCTGTTAAATCGTCGAGGTGACGACAACTGGAACCCCGTGGTCTAACTTTTCAAATTAAACTATTCGGGTTATCCACAATATGTTTTGAGGCGTTTTTTGATACTGTTAAAATATTTCATGCACCATTACGACTATTTAATATTTATGTTTTACATTTTCCCAATAGCCTATAGTCTCTCCTTTTCGGACTTCCCGAAGTTCATCACTTTGTGACATATTATAAATACTTAGACATTCCTAATCTAATTTAACTGTAATGTATAAGGCCGTGGCACGAAGATTCAATTCCACTTCAACTTTTGTTGTGTCATAGTTGTGAAACACAAGTTTTTAGCCTTAACGTGTAAGAAAAACACACCGAGAAAGACATT